GTGAAGGTGAGTCTCCAGATTCTCAACTTTTATTTTTATTTATTGATTTATTTTTTTAGAGACAGAGTCTCAGTTTATCGCCCTCGGTAGAATGCCGAGGCATCACAGCTCACAACAACCTCCAACTCCTGGGCTTAGGCAATTCTATTTCCTCAGCCTCCCAAGTAGCTGGGACTACAGGCATCTACCACAACACCTGGCTATTTTTTTGTCGTTTTTGCAGTTTGGCCGAGGCCAGATTTGGACCTGCCACCCTCGGTATATGGGGCTGGCACCCTACCCACTGAGCTATAGGTGCCACCCAGGAAGACTATTCTTCACTGAGCCTGAATGAAGCTTTAATTTAGCGCGTGTGTCCCTCCATGCGCAGCACTGGTCATCTGCTGCTATGTAGCATTCTGTCAGGATCCCAAAAACTCATGCTTTCACTTTCTGCCACTTTTCTGAGGTATGGATCCCACCTGCATAAAGAACACTAGCCTAGCCCCAAACTCACCCACCTCCAACTCTCATTAGTAACTTTCCTGTCCATGACTTCAGAACAGGAACTCAGGAACACAATTGATAGAGATTAGAATGGCCAGGACTTTATATTTCTGAGAACTGTAAGGCCAGCGTATTCAGCTATGCCTCACACTATCCTTGTCATCCTTCCTCAGCATGCAGAACACAGCCCATCTGTCCTCTGCCATATGTCTCAGTATTTCCTACCCATTTATAGCCTGTTCTCTTCTAGGAATTTGTTACTGTCTCTGTAATCCCATTCATGATCTAAGCATTCTTATACAACATGCATCAATGACTATCAAACCTTTGAGGCACCAAAATCAACTGCAGGTACCTGTGCTCCACTCAAGACTTCCAGAGTTTCTCTTCACTCGTTCTGGGATGGGTCTGGGAATTTGCTTTACTAACAAGTTCCCAAGTGATGCTGATGCTGTTGGTTAGTAAACACGTGGAGAACCATGGCTATAGATCTCTAATCTCTTACCGAAGCTGCGTTCCCCTTCTTGCTTTAACTAGAATCTGGCCATCCATCCCATGCAGCCCTTACAAGTTAATTGCTGTTATTTCTTCCTCCCTCTGGTTTTCTGTTTCTGGCCTTCTAGGGAAAATCACTTTAGCTGGTCATTTCCCCTCACCTATGATCCTTTTTCCCTGCTTGCCCAGAAGAACCTTCAACCAAAATCTTCCTCTGCTTCTATACCCTGCCTACTTAGAGAAAAATCACATGGCCGTATGAATTGGTTCCCCTACAAATTCATGTCCAAACTCAAGTGAGAACTGAGCCCAAAAAGCCAACTAGCAAATCAAAAGTTTGCTAGTCATGGGACGGCACCTGTGGCTCAGTGAGTAGGGCGCCAGTCCCATATACCAAGATTGGTGGGTTCGAACCTGGCCCCGGCCAATATGCAACGAAAAAATAGCTGGGCGTTGTGGTGGGCCCTTGTAGTCCCAGCTACTCAGGAGGCTGAGGCAAGAGAATCACCTAAGCCCAAGAGCTGGAGGTTGCTGTGAGCTGTGATGCTACAGCACTCTACTG